CAATGGAACCCGCAGTAGGAAAACCTCACCTTTTTTTGCCAACCGCAAGAGATGTATGGGAAGCTGTTCGGGACATGTATGCAGATGTAGAAAACTCATCCCAAATTTTCGATCTGAAAACTAAACTGTGGAAGGCAAAACAAGGGGATCGAGATGTGACTGTTTACTACAATGAACTCGTAACGCTGTGGCAGGAGTTGGACCTCTGTTATGAGGACGAGTGGGACTGCCCACAAGATAGTGTTCGCCACAAGAAAAGGGAGGAGAATGATCGAGTTTATGTCTTCCTAGCGGGGCTCAACCAAGAACTTGATGAGGTGCGGGGCAGAATCCTTGGAAGAAAGCCTTTACCATCGATAAGAGAGGTTTTCTCTGAAGTTCGGAGGGAGGAGTCAAGGCGTAGAGTGATGCTTAAAAAACAGGAACCAAAGAACAGTTCCGACATTGAGAATTCAGCCTTGTTCTCCAGAGATCCAGATTCGGAAGGGAACGGAAAGAAGAAGCCTTGGTGTGACCATTGTAAAAAATATTGGCACACTAAGAAAACTTGCTGGAAACTCCATGGAAACCCACCAAACCAGAAGAAGAAGAGCAGAGGAGAAGGCAGGGCATTACAAACTGTAAGCGAGGATTCCCAGGGACAACAAGTCAATTCAGAGATGCAGTCCTTCACAAAGGAACAACTAAACCACTTGTACAAGCTCTTCCAATCTCCACAATTCTTAAATCCTTCCTGCTCTTTAGCTCAAAAGGGTAATTATCTTATTGCAACGTTTTCTTGTGAAAAATCAAATCCATATTGTTCATGGATTATTGATTCAGGTGCCACTGACCATATGACCGGATCTTCAAAATTGTTCTATTCCTATAGTCCATGTGCAGAAAACAAGAAAATCAAAATTGCTTATGGTTCATTGTATGTAATAGCAGGAATAGGGTCCATTGTCATCTCTCCCACACTCACTCTTTCATAAAGTCCTTCATGTGCCTAATTTGTCCTGCAATTTGTTGTCAATAAGTAAATTAACCAGTGATCTGAGATGTCAAGTTAATTTCTCTCCTTCATATTGCGAATTTCAGGAACTGACCACGGGGAGGACGATTGGCAGTGCTAGAGAAAGCGGAAGACTTTATTTTTTTGAAGAGGGATCAAAATCACAAAGGCTGGCACAAAGTACATGCTATGGTTCTGTCTCTTTTGTTGACAATAAAGAAAATATGTTATGGCATTATAGATTAGGTCATCCGAATTTTCATTACTTGAAACATTTATTACCTGATTTGTTTAAGAATAAAAATCCTTCTTTATTGCAATGTGAGTTTTGTGAATTGGCTAAGCACCATCGCTCTACTTTTTCTTTACAACCCTATAAACCTACAAAACTGCTTTTATTGATCCACACCGACGTTTGGGGTCCCTCTGGAATTGTAACACCTCCAGGAAAAAAATGGTTTGTGACATTTATAGACGATCATACAAGGCTGAGTTGGGTTTATCTATTAAAAGAAAAGTCAGAGGTTGAAAGTGTCTTCAAAAAATTTTACACGATGGTGTTAACCCAATTTCAAACCAAAATCCAAATCCTTATGAGTGATAATGGTAGAGAGTATTTTAATAAAATTTTGGGACCTTTTTTCCTAGAAAAAGGAATTGTGCACCAAAGTTCATGTAATGATACACCTCAACAAAACAGAGTAGCTAAGAGAAAAAATAAACATCTGTTAGAAGTTGCTAGAGCATTACTATTTTCAAAAAACGTCCCTAAGTATCTCTGGGGTGAAGCAACTTTGATAGCAACATATTTAATCAATCGGATGCCTTCGAGGGTTCTCAAATTCAAAACACCATTAAGTGCTTTTCAAAACATTTACCCTTCTTCAAGGCTCACTTCGGACATTCCTCTTAGAATATTTGGATGCACAGCTTTTACTCATAACCATGATCACAGTAGAGGAAAACTTGATCCTAGGGCCAAACGTTGTGTTTTTGTTGGATATGCACCAACTCAAAAAGGATATAAATACTTTGACCCTATCTCAAGAAAAATGATCATAACCATGGATGTAACCTTTTTTTGAAGATAAACCTTTTTTTGGAACTCATCTTCAGGGGGGGAGAGAAAGAGAAGATGGGGATGTGGATGTGTTTCGAATCCAAGAACAAGAAAACCAACTGGACATTGTTCATAATACTTGGCAAGATAATGTGGCAGAAAGTCAAAGTCAAACATTTGTTTACATTGATGATTCAAATTTTGCCACAATGTTAACAATATGTTTGGTAGGAAAGAAAAGTAGAAGGAAGGAAGAAGGTGGAGGGATTTTGGGAAGGAAAATAAAAATGTAGGTTGTTTGGTAGGAGAGAAAAGAGAAAGGAAGAGAAAATGGAGTAGAAAATAATACATGTGAGCCCTACCATTTTTTTTCTCTCCACAAGTGGGCAAAAAATGGGATGAAAAATAGGAACAACTCATTAAAGTGAGCAAAATTACTAAACTACCCTTTTCTCCATCAACATCTAAGCAAAAAATTTAAGGGTATAAAAGTAATTTACGAGTAAGATTTTTTCTTTCCTCCCAATTTAACTTCCAATACCAAACAAGTGAAGGTAAGCTCATTTTCTTTCCATCTTCTCGTACCAAATAACATAAAAGAAAATCAATTTTCTTTCCATCATTGCTACTTTCCATCACTTCTATATTTCCTTTCTATCATATTTTCTTTCCTTCCTACCAAACATAGCATAAAGGAAAACCAAGAAAAAGAAAATGTTCAAGTTGAGACTGTAAAAAATCTCTCTCAACAAGCAAAGCAAATAAATGCTGATATAGGAGAAACAGCTCCTTTATCCTTAGTGCCATCTGAAAAAAATAATAATAATCCTACGGAAGAAAGAGATAAGAACATAGCAGGTACTAAGTTGCAGACCTACTCCAGAAAGAATTACCATTCAAAAGATAAAGTCTCCACCACTCTTCAAAGTCTTGAGTCTGAACCGTGGAAAGAGTCTGAAGCACCTCAACTCCCAGGTAAAAACCCTCATGAGTCTTCCATAGAGTCTTATGATGATCTTGATATTCCCATTGCTTCTCGAAAGGGTGTGCGGTCTTGCACTAAACACCCCATGTCTCACTTTGTTTCCTATGACACATTATCCCTTGGTTTCTTTGCTTTCACTTCACAAATCTCCTCTGTGGAAATTCCAAGAGATGTACAAGAGGGTTTGCAGGTTCCCGAGTAGATGAAGGCTATTGATGAAGAGATGAGGGCTCTTGAGACAAATCAAACATGGGAAGTAGTGGATCTGCCAAGAGGAAAGAAGACGGTTGGTTGCAAATGGGTTTTCACGATTAAGTATAATTCGGATGGAACCCTTGAGAGGTACAAGGCCCGCTTAGTAGCCAAAGGCTTCACTCAAACTTATGGTATCGACTATCTTGAGACTTTTGCTCCAGTTGCTAAGTTGAATACAGTCAGAGTACTACTGTCGATTGCTATTAATCTTGATTGGCCACTTCATCAATTAGATGTAAAGAATGCTCTTTTGAATGGAGACTTAGAGGAAGAAGTTTACATGGACTCACCACCAGGGTTTGATGAGAGGTTCAAATCGAAGCTCTGCAAGCTGAAAAAGTCACTATATGGGCTCAAACAATCTCCTAGGGCGTGGTTTGATAAGTTTACCCGGTCTGTGAAGAGCCAAAGATATGTTCAGGCTCAAAGTGACCATACTATGTTTATCAAACGGTCCGAGGTAGGTAAGATTGCTGTCTTAATAGTACATGTAGATGATATCATTCTTACTGGTGATGACTTGGCAGAGATGGAAAGGCTGAAGAAGAACTTGGCTCTAGAATTCAAAATTAAAGACTTGGGAGCATTGAGATATTTCCTAGGGATGGAAGTGGCACGTTCAAGGAAGGGGCTGATTGTCTCTCAAAGGAAATATGTTTTAGATCTTAATGAAACTGGTATGAGTGGATGCCGACCTGGAGATACTCCCATGGATCGAAACCAAAAGCTTGGAGATACTACAGATAGAGAACTAGTTGACAAGGCTAGGTACCAAAAACTTGTGGGAAAGTTAATCTACTTATCCCATACCAGACCAGATATAGCCTTTGCGGTAAGCGTTGTGAGCCAATTTATGCACTCTCCCTATGAGGAGCATCTTGAAGCAGTATATCGAATTCTGAGATACCAAAAGAGTACTCCAAGGAAAGGGCTTTTTTTCAAGAAAGGTGAACAAAGGACTGTTGAAGCCTATACAGATGCTGACTGGGCAGGCTCAGTTACTGATAGAAGATCTACATCCGGTTATTGCACATTTGTTTGGGGTAACCTTGTTACTTGGAGAAATAAGAAGCAGAATGTTGTAGCATGGAGTAGCATTGAAGCAGAGTACAGAGCCATGGCACATGGTGTTTGCGAGATTTTGTGGTTAAAACGAATTCTGGATGAACTCGGAAAGCCAATGGAAGGACCTATGAAGTTGTACTGTGACAATAAGGCTGCTATTAGCATAGCTCACAATCCAGTGCAACATGATAGAACTAAGCATGTTGAGGTTGATCGACATTTTATAAAGGAAAAGTTAAAAGAAGGGATCATCTGTTTGCCATTTGTTCCTACAACACAACAGATAGCTGACATTCTTACCAAAGGATTATTCAGGCCTAACTTTGAGCTTCTCACTAGCAAGTTGGGCATGATGAACATTTACGCACCAACTTGAGGGGGGGTGTCGAAGATATTGAGATCCCTAGGTTTTAGGGAATTGTTATTCAAATAAAATCCGAATATTAGATAGCCTATAGGATTTGGATATTAGGTAGCAGATAGGATAAGCTTATAATCTTCTCCTATTTTTTCTCCTAGGATAGGAGAGTTATCCCACGGATTCATTGATCCTGGGCTATATATATTTCCCCTGTTTTCTTCTCAAGTTAATTTAATAAAAAAGGATTGCTTATTTCTTTCCTTAAAACTACAAAAAACAATCAGGAGAAGAAAAGGATTAATACCTTTGTGTTCTGCCGTTCATCCGTTCGATTCCTTTTCCTCTCAACTGCAGGTCGAGGAGAAGGAGATCTCCTGGTATGTCTGACTCTGTGATGAGTTCTTTCTTTGACATGAATTTTTTCTACTTCAGAACTTCGAAGTGGAGGGGGTTCAGCAGCATCTCTGATTAGCCCTTTCCATTCTTTATTGTGCCGAATTTTAGCTTCTTTTTTAGACTCAGATTCCAAGTGATGAGAATAATCCCTCCCAGATTTGTCTGCAGATGAGGGTTTTGTTTTAGTCTCCTCAGGCTGTACATATAAATCAATATTCGAAGCCAGATGATCCCACAACCTGTTTGACAGAAAAATCAAAGGAAAAGAGAAAGAAAAGGAGTTACAACATTATCTAGGACAAATGACTAGGGAGGTAAGTTTAGTTCCCCTAAACAAGAAAAGGAAAGGGGGGGGAAAAATTACCAAGACACAAAAGAATCACTGTCATCCCCCAAAAACACATTCAACTCGTTCCTTGCCTCTTCTTTGCGCCTCCCATTCTTTAGTAACACAAGTACATATTCCTGCCAATGAAAATCGATAAGGTACAGTTAAAGTTCCAAATGTTATCTTCTGTAACAAAGTCTTGAGCATCATGATAAATGCCAATCATTAGGTCAATCAACCATCAGGAATG